GAATAAAATTTAAATGTTGCATTACATGGGCATTTCTTGTACCTTAATACTAGTTCAAGGTTAGCAGTGAGTCCCTTACTAGATTGTAATGTATCGACATCCATAAGATGAGGTAATCCATAAGATGAGGTGATTTATCTTCAACATACAGTAACATTTTCGGTCCGACATACTAGTTTTGAAACTTCTATTTAGAATGGGAATTAAACATGTCCTATGGAGTTTTAACATGTGGTATAAAATATAAGAGTTCAAAATATTTTAAAATCTGATTTTTTTTAAAAAAAATAAAATAAAAAAATACATAAAAATTGATTACAAGTGTGGTGGACAGATTACGCACATTAAAATCTAAGGGCCCATTTGATATAGATCTTTTTAAGAATAGATTGTGTGAAAAATGATTTTTTGAAAAAAAAAGAACAGTTAAAAAGTAGAAAAGTTATGGATTCACGGGCAAAATTATTTTATTGGGAGAAGTTGTGGGTGGGGATGAGTTAGAGGAAAATGAATTTTAAAGAATCTGTATCAAACAAGGACTAAGTCTAATCCCTATTAGTTGTTAGTAATTAGAGTTTGAAAATAGCTTCAATAGGACTAATTGTAATCTTATTAGAGCATCTCCAATGCTTCAATGGGGAAAAAAACTGTACAATGTAAAAAAATTCTCTTCAATGCGATCTCATAGGGACTCCGTCAAGTTGATGCGGCGAAAAGAATAACACACATTGTCTGGAGCTACGTTCAGATTTAGGAACTCTGTTACATATGCTGACTCATCAACATTTATATTTCCTATTCAGATTTAGATAAGATCTAGTTTTTACTTCAAGAAAATAGGAGACAGCTAAACAACATTACTGAATTTTAGATATTATTAGAGAACAATTTTAGACTAGTGTGTCTATTCAATAGGCATCAATGCATAGGCCAGAAGTCTTTCAACTTCTATGCCACCTAGATACCAATCCATAAAATACATTGGAGATGCCCTCAAATTAGTAGAGATGAGAGTTGGGTTAAAACTCTACTTAGTCACTGGAAACATTAGCTGTGTTTAACTAATCTAATCCTAATTCCATCTATATATCATAGGGCCAAATAGTGCAGGGTGGTCAGCATTCTGATACCACATATTTCAAATAGATATTTTTTTAACTCAAATTTGGAAAAGCAAACTGAAGCTCTTGTAATTGACTAAGTAGTGAGGAAAGACTTTAATTCATGTCTTCAAACAATTTTTTCCCCCATATTTTGGCTTTCAGCCAGGGGCTGTAAAAATAAAAATAGGAATTTAGTTTGTTCATTATTTTTCCCAAAAATCTCCATTAGATAAAGAGCATGAGATTCAAAAAAGTGAATCTTGTGGTTGCAAAAGGATGTCCACACACCCGAGTCAATTTGGCAGTAGAATTCGTTGGAAGACCTTCAGTATTTGGAGCTTGACAGAAAATTTCAGCCATGGACTCATATTCTACGTAAGTACCTATCCTGTTTTACTTTTGCTGTGTACTCTTCGATCCCAACAGTTTCTCAGTTGGATTAGCAAAACATAACAAATTTAAAAATTGATAAATGGAGGATTTTCCTGTACTATCATTACCTTAGATTTAGTGATTAACATTTCTAATAGTTTCAATGTATGAAAAATTTC